GGGTGTGTCTACACTGCACCCTTATCTCGAAATAAGCTAAGTGATTTGAGCTGTGCAAATTGCATAGCTTATTTCAAGTTAATTTCAAAATAGAGCACTATTCTGAAACGTCCCTTACTCTTCGTGGAACGAGGTTTATAGGGACGTTGGAATAACGTGTTCCTTATTTCAAAAGCTATTTCTAAATAACGGATGTGCTGTCAAAGACATAGAAAATGCTAGTTTGGAATACCAGAAGTATCCCGAAATAGCGCCGCTGTCTAGTCACACCCAATCCATGTCATTTTGCATTTGTTTACCTATCTATGTCTAGCACCATCTACAGCTAATTGCCAGGCACATTTTTAATGTACTATTTGCAATTATGCAAGCTCCCGTTAACTTGATGTTAACAATCCTTTGTGTCAATGATCTGGCAACATATACTTGAATCAATAATTCTACGTGTATATTTACGTGTGTACTCCTTTATAGATCAGCTGTTTAATAACTGCTAAAGCTCTTGCATTTTGCAGGGCCATCCCTAGCAGGACGTGGGGCCCACCTCCTCCCATCCTTGTTATGCCCCTGTCCCACCGTCACTCCACCCCTTCTCCTAAGCCCCACCCCTGCTCCACCCCCATCCTGCTCCTTCCCACCCGTTCCTACCCACATTGCACGGCTTGGCCAAAGCTCCCTCCGCCAAGAGCAACATGACCTTGGGGGATTACCGGGAGCCTGGCGTGGGGTGGCATCAACGGTCAGACATCCCACACACTGCAGTGGCCGGATGTGTGGGAAGTGGAGCAACCCAGCAGCCCGCTCTGCTCTGCCAGCTCCCAGCTGGGGCCACTTCCTGGGGCTTCTGCTGCCACAGTGAGTACAAGGGGGGCCTGACCCCCTGCTGCCTGCCTCAGACCCCTCAGGTAATCCCCAGACCCTGCAGGCTAAGATCCCTACTGGGGACCATCCTCTCCATAGAACAGTTGGGGCAGCTGCCACAAGGCCCTCAAAACACAGGGCCCAGGGCAGCCACCTTGAACTGTCCTATGGACAGGATGGCTCTGGCATTTTATAACACTTCCAGTTCTTCACCAAGGGTTTCTACAAAATCTCAGACACTAGGCCAGACCCTTTGCCCATTGAAGTCAGGGGCAAAACTCCCTGTAGGCTTATTACAACTCTCTTTTGTTGCATCATCATCTCAGTGGAGGAAAATATTTTTGGGCCAAAAGTCAATAAATAGATACTGCATCCGTTTTTCAAATCACCATGGTTTAAGAATAAGGAAACTAACAAAAATACTAAACTAAAAGAAGTTTTGATGAGAAAAATGACTCAGAGTTGCAGCCCGATGTTCTGTATTTATTTTCAGTTCAGTGTTGAGTTGACTCAGAAAAAAAATTGTTGTCACAATAGGGATGTAAAGGTTTAACCAGTTAACTGGTTACCTGGTAAGCATCAGCCTTACCAGGTAATCAGTGGCCAGCTGGGTTGGACAGCTCCCCTGCTCCTGGTGCTGCAGGTCTGGCTGGAGCAGCCTGCGGCACGGCAGGTCTGGTCAGGCTGGAGCAGCCTCCCACGGGGGGAGGGGGGGGGGAGAGACACTCCAGCCCAGCCAGGCCCCAGGCCTGCGGGATCCCAGTGAACCAGATAAACTTAACCTTTCATCAGTTCACTTTTTCAATGGGATTTTACATCCTTATTTCGCACCCATAGTAACGGCCGCAGCCGCATGCTCAACTTGGAGTCTGAAAGCAAAGCTGTGATCTGCAGGGCAATTAAGATGCTTGACTCATAAGTTAGGTCCTGATCCTGCAGCTGCTCAAACACACGTCCAGTTTTACTCACATGAGTAAGAAGTTACACACCATACAGCGTGTGCAGCGTCTGGGAGATAACAGGGAGGTCTGTTTGGCGAACGGGCAGTCAGCCGCATTGGGAATGGCAGCTTTGTTGAGAACAAGCTAAGGGATCAGACGGATGGCTGTCTGAGGAGGTTACCTTATTCATAGAAAAGCAGAAAGAGTTCAGTCAAGGGGGTAGGAGACTCTGCGGCAGAGCACTCCCAGGCAGAGGCCCAGCTGTGCAACGCATTGATATTTCCCTTGCAATTATTAGTGGAGCTTCTCCTCTCAATACTTGACACAACAGAGGGGAATTATCCCTGTTTTACAGCTAAGGAATTAAGGCAAAGAGTAAATGACTCGCCCAAGGTCAGATAGGAAATTTGTGGTAGAGGAAGGAATTGAACCCAAATGGCTTGCATACCTATCCAACGTGCTGTTGCCTAAGCCGGCCTTCCCAACCCTGGATGAATTTTACAGGAATCTCCTCAAATTTTCATAGCTGATCATTTAGGCTGGGCTTAGCTGCACTTTTGAAAGGTAGCGTGTCTTCCTCAAAGTGTAGGAGCCCAGGTGTTTTCTAGTTTCAGACAGCGCTAGAAGACAGTATTGCCCATCTTTTGTCTAATAGGTGATCATCCAACATGAAAAAAACCACCCTGCTTTAGAAGGAAAACAATACTTGAGAGAGGAAAGTTCCATCTTAGGGTACATCTAGACTGCAGGCTTCTTTCGGAAGAAGCTTTTCTGGAAGAGATCATCCGAAAAAACTTCTTCCGAAAGAGAGCGTCCACACTGCCAAAGCACATTGAAAAAATGATCTGCTTTTTCAAAAGATAGTATCCACACTAAATGGATGCTATCTCACATTTAAGCTGTGATTATTATGGACGGAGTGGCTACCAGGGCACCTGTGCTTTTTTCCTCTTTCCTCTTCTTTCGAAAGAATTTCCTCTTCTACATCCACACACACTTTTTTCCAAAAGAGCTCTTTTGGAAAAGGCATTATTCCTTGTAGAATGAGGTTTACCAACTGCTGTTTTCCGAACTCCCCCCACCTGCAGTTTAGACGCACCCCTTAGTGTCCAAGACAGAGAGATCGTTTGGGCAGCGAATCTGTATGTACAGTGATAAATGGGATATAAATACTATATTTTGAAGCTAAGCTTTGAAGTGACTGTTATAGCTGAGTAAAGCCTCAGATGGCTGAGAAATTAAAGTAATGAAAATACAAAACCAGGGAGAGCCCCCAATCTAAAATGTAAGTGACTGCTGAGGCTCCTCTAACAAGTGTTAAATGTAAAGGTTATTAGCGAAAATCTTGCCAACACACACATGTTGCCTTGCAAAAAAACACTATAAAAGAAAACGCTGGTTCTATTTTTTTCTGATTTCATTTTCACCCCGGCTGTTAAAATGCCATGCCACCCAGATTTTCAGCTGATTCTCCATTACCTCCAGCATTCTGCCTAAGGTATAGACTTCTCTCTTCCGAGCTGGGCTTGTGCATTCATTTGCTGATAAACTGTTTATCTTAGCTTTTATGAGGGCGCCTTGTTGCAAGCCAGCCAGAGACAGGATCCTGGGTGTTTGTCTTTTTTTAAAGGGGGTGGGAGGGGAGGAGGGTATGTATACCTCCCCTTGGCTCTATATATCATGAGAGGCGGACTCCACCGTCTCTGTCTCTCAGCAGTGTCTTCTGCAGTAAATCTGAACCTCTCAGTCTGGAGTTTTCTTGGCTACAGCCCCACTTGGCCATAAGGAGGAATTAAGGCGAGTATTCTAATTCTGTCTCCCCCCTCCCCTAGTCTGCTGCAGAGTAAACCAAAAAACGCTCCGATTCCCCCTCCTGACCCCCCCTCGCCCCCGCTTCTCATGCCAAATATTAACATCTCAGCAATCAAGTGGAGAGAAATTTAAATGCCAGACCAAAGCTGGTTAAGTGCCTCACAGTTTGCAGACAGATTCATCACGGGAAGAGAGGCTGGTGGGGGGCCGCTGAGAGAATTGGCAAAGATGAAGCAGTAACCAGGAGATTCTTTCTTTCTTTTTTAAGCCTAAAAATTATGACACTTATATTTACAAGTGGTGGCTCCTAGCTGGGATCTGAATTTACTTACAGGCAACCTTGTTTATTCACACAAACTCCCTGCAGCAGCAGTGTATATATATTTGAAGGCTAGGAATTTATTTATTTTGCCAGCCATGGGTTCAGATAGATGTTTATTGAGATAAACTGGTCTAGAGGGTCTTTAAGACTAAAGATAACAGGGCGTCAGGCATCCAATAGAGCAAAGAAAATACAGCAAATTTAAACACCCTTCCAACCAAGTGCTCCAAGCATGTGTGTGATTCATTGATGCCAGCTACTGAACAAACCTAATACATAACATTTCCCACCTCTGATATTTAAAAAGGCCCCTATACCTAGTTAGCACCAATGGAGCCCTTGAAATGTTTTATTGCTGATTGTCTCCTGCCACATGATGGATTACCGCTTGGCTGAAAATGACAACCCCACTTGCTCTCAGCTACTTCATTTTCCTGGCTCCAGTGGGGGTGAAGAAAAAATCCGATTACATCATATTTAGCCTCCCGGTTTTGAACACAGGAGAAAAATGAAGCTTTTAAAAGCACCTTTATCAAAGTTAGCTCAGCAAAACCCTGCAGTTTCCTTCAGTAGGCTTTGCACCAGGCCCTACGGCAAATTTCTTGAGAGATCTAGTAGATTTAGTGGACAGAAAATGCCTTTCTTTACACTACAGAGAAAGGTCGACACAAGGCAACTTACACAACCCTCACTAGTATCTACTCTGAGGCCATGCCTTCACTCCATGGAAGATCACTGCTATCGCGATCGATCTTTCAGAGTTCGATTTAATGAATCTAGTTAAGTCTCACTAAATCAAACTCAGAGGGTGCTCCAGCTGGCATCTGGTACTCCTTCTCTAGCAAGGAGTAAGGGAAGCTGACAGGAGCGTTTGCTCCTGTCGGCCTGCTCTGGGCACACTGCCAAGCTCGGTTTAAGTAAGCCGACTCCTGCTACATATTCTATGTAGCTGGAGTTACATACTGTAAGCCAAGCTGCTGAGTCTAGTGTAGTGATTGTCCATTGGCCATGGATTTATGCATAGACGTGATAAATCAATCTCTGAGTGCTTTTCTGTTGACACCAGTACTCCATCAGGATGAGAAGAATAGCCAACGTTGATGGCCCCCGCTGACCTTATTGCACTCAATATGCCGTGGTAAGTACGTTGACTTCAGCTACACTATTTGTGTCACTGCAGTGACGTAGATTGGATTGACAGTGGGGGTTAATATAGATTAGGCCTATAATTACACTCTCACCAATGTAATGGGCTTGCTATACCGGCTTAATAATTTCATCTCCATTAGAGGCAGAGAGATTCAGTGTCAATGTCGCTAGGTCAATGCAGTGTTAGTGTAAACACTTGTGTTGCCTACATTCACTGGTGCGGGCTTTCAAAAACTACTCCACAAAGCCTCACACTAACACTTGAATCCATGAAGATTTTCCTGGAGAGGATGTGCACCACCAGTACAAGAAATAAAGTATAGACATGCACAAGCGATATGATTACTATGGCGGCTGTATGACACCTTAAGTTAGGTTGACTTAATTTTGTAGTGTAGACATGATCAATGTTATACCATCTTAGCCTGCGGGGGTCTTTAATTTTGACCTCAGAATGAGGCAGGGACTTGATAAAAAATACCATATGTGCATAGCTCAAAAAAAGGCTACAGGACCAAATCCAGCTCAGGTGCAAATCCGGAATAATTCTAAGGGACTCAATGGAGCTTCCTTAGATTTACATCGGTGCCTCAAAAGCTGAATTAGGACCAGTATATTAACCCCCCCCCCCCCCCCCCCACTTTTCTGTTTTTATAACAGAGTGAAGACAGTGGATTTGGACCCAATAAAGTTGGGGTAAGGGATCAACAGGCCAAAAAACAAACAAAAAACCCCCACAAAACAGTGAATGTTTTAGAGAATTTGCAAAGAAGTGAAGTCTTAATAACTGGAAAGAGATTAACTTGCATCTTCTGGAGATTTTGTATTACAATTTTTTCTGGTTGTCATTCTTGGTTTCTTTGGGAAATCTGATCTTTTTTTAAAAAAAATAGTGGATTAAACTGATCATGGAGAACATTTTATTAAATAGTTGAACTCATAGAGTTAACTCTGGCACTTCTTATCATGGTCAAAGATCATAAAATGTTCCAGAAAGTGAATGATCGAAGATTTGGTTGGCTACAAAAAATACCCGTTCAAAGAGTTTATTTCCCAGGAAATCTTATATTTCGGTTCAAAGTAGAAGGATTCAGGGACTGAAACAGACAGATGCATGGGGCTGATCTGATTGATTCAAGAATGGAAATGGACATAGAGGAGCCTGATCTGCACTTGCATTGATCTGAAATGGACATTCTAACCGATTGGGAGATGCCACTTGAATTTTTGTAACCTTGCTAGTTTTATTCTTTCTCAACCACATGTGGGAGCAAAGGGAACCAGGCAAAGACATAGTCAAATCTGGGCTTCCCAGGCAGAGACTGGCCTTTTTCTCTTGGTGTTTGACTAGGTTCAGGGATTAATTAGGCCATGGAAGATAGTTGAGTTCTCTTTTCTAGCAACCAGGTTGCTTATGGAAGTCCTGCTTTCCCCGCCTCTATAATGAAGCATGACTGTAGTAAAACAAGCCTTTTGATCGTGCCTCTTCTCATCACTTTCAAGGCAAACAATGTCTCAGAAGCCCCCCAACTGCTTTTATTTTTCTTATATCTAGAGTTACGTTTTGGGTGTGTTTATCCATCTTCATTAAAAATGCTTCCTCTTTTTAATACTCTCCCTTTATTGCAGTTTACACAATTACAAGGCAGGTTCAAAAGCTTTTGGAGCCCGGCGCTCAAGCAAAGCAAAGCATCACACAGCCCTACCTCACCCAAGCAGTAACGGAACACAGTCCCCTTGCCAAGCAAACGGTCACAAGTTATTGCTTTGTTCACTGCAGAGTATCCCTTATACATAAGTATCCCTCCCATAAACTCAGGAGAGGAGAACTTTTTAAAAATAGTCACAGATCATCAGCCTTATTCTTTCCCCACCACTCTACACAGCAGCATAGTCATTGTTTGGGAAATCGCTTATAAGACACTAGCAGATTTATCCAGCATTGCTTGGGTCCATAATTGGGAATTCCATTAAGTGTATTTTGTTTTTTCATCCCTATATGCTTTTATCATTTGTTATGTTTTAACAAAAAAGGGACATAGTCAATGTGGTTTCCCACATTTTCTAATTTTCAAACCTTAAGCATTGATTTAGCTGGGCCAAAACAGCACTACTCTAAATTTCTCCATTTTATCTCTTTCTGTAAGGGTTTATTGAGAAGCAATCCTATTCCAGGTTCATCCTATTTTTCTGGCTCATCTTGGTTGAGTCTCTTTCAACATTCACTCGGTTATATCAATTTTGAGGCTGTACTTGCTTTAGTGATTGTCTCTTTTCTATTCTATTTTTTTTTTGAGAAGCAATCCCATTCTAGGCACACTCCATTTTGCTGGCACAAGTTGGCAACCAAATCCTTACATTGTTTTAAGTTATGATAAGAGGAAGCTGTATACTGAAAATGGTCACCCTAGCACTTACCTTTAGGAACAGTTATTGATCAGACAGACAAACTCTCTAAAATATATAGTAGATGGCAGGAATATGTAATGAATAGTTTGTCTGTGGCATCAGATTTGGGGAAGGAGGCTGGGATACTTATGACTTCGTTGCTTTCATCTTAGTTTTGAGATGATTCACTTTAGTATGTAAGGGTATGTCTATACTTGCAGCTTATTTTGGAATAGGGCTGCAAATATAGGCATTTGGAATTGCAAATCAAGCCCAGGATTTAAATATCCAGGGCTTGATTTGCGTCTTCCTGTCTGGGCGCCATTTTTTGAAATTTACAAGCCCGGAATAACTGCCCGCATCTACACGCGGCAGTGAAACAGGTGTTCGAAATAAAGCCCTATTTCAAACTACCTGTTAAACCTCATTGCAGGTGGAATAACAGGTAGTTTGAAATAGGGCTTTATTTCAAACGCCTGTTTCACTGCTGCGTGTAGACGCGGGCATTTATTCCAGGCTTGTAAATTTCAAAAAATGGCACCCAGCTGGGAAGATGCAAATCAAGCGTGGGATATTTGCAATTCCGAATGCCTATATTTGCAGCCCTATGCCGAAATAGGCTGCAAGCGTAGACATACCCTTTGGCTGTGTCCAGACTCAAGGGTTTCTTCAAAAAAAGTAGCCTTTTTTCGAAAAAACTTCACTTGCGTCTAGACTACAGCCGCGTTCTTTTGAAATTAAATCAAAAGAACACAGCTTTTCTTTCGACGGCGGTAAACCTAATTTCACGAGGAAGAATGCCTTTTTTCGAAAGTGCTCTTTTGAAAAAAGGCGTTCTTGAATGCAAACAGGATGTTTTCGAAAGAGAGCATCCAGACTGCCTGGGTGCTTTCTTTCGAAAAAGCGGCTTGCTTTTTCGAAAGTACTGGTTGTAGTCTAGACGCTCTTTTTCAAAAGAGGCTTTTTAGAAAGATTCTTTTGAAAAAGCCTCTTTCGAAAGAGGCTTGCAGTCTAGACGTAGCCTTTGGGTGCATCTATATGGCAGGGTTTAACTCGTCAGTTGCGTAGTAGCTTATTTCAAAGTGTCTACACAGCACTTATTTCGAAACAGAGCACTCTTCCTCTGACTTCCCTAACTCCTCGTACAATCAGGGTTACAGGAGTCGGAATACTGCTAGTTGTTTCGAAATAATGTTGCTCTGTAGATATATCCTAAGGGTGCATCTAGACTACAATCCCCTTTGGAAAGAGGAATGTAGTCTAGACACATCATAAGAGATTTAAATAATGGTATGCTTAAAATCTTGTCACTAAGGTGCTATTTAGCATTCTAGGTTAAACATACACAAATGGGACTTATATTTTCAAACGTGGGAAATATTTGTCTCACATTGTATGATGTTTTGGATCTCTCTCTCTCCCCGCGCTTCCTCTAAGTACGACGATGATGATATTTTTAACAACACCAACATTCTTCACAGGACGATGTCTCCTTCGAACAACACCCGGTGCACGCTCAAAAGCTTTTGGCCTGCCACACTTGGACAAGTGGTGAGAAGTCGCCTGATGGGAGTAGCGGGGCCGAATCTCTCCAGCCAAAGGGCCGCGTCACCTCCTAATCGCTTGTTTAGATGAGCAGAGTTGAGGCCATCACCCCGAAAGGGGCGAGGGGGGTGATACAAGCCGTGCATCAGAAAAGAGGACAGCGAAGAAGTGAATGCAGTGTCCCTGGAAAGTGATGGTTTATTTCCTAGACATTTTCCGGTGATACCCCCCAAAGCCAGCCCAGATCCATCCCCCCACCCCAGGGCAGGAACCGGGAATCTCATTGCTCGCAGGAGTCCGCTCACCACACCGCACCTAGGGCTCTGCTAAGCAGGGCGCGGGGCTTGTCAATTACCTCTCCGCTTCCCGGAGTCATTATTCCATTAAGTGCCTCTCGGTAGATCTGTCAGTGCCTAAGCCGGGCCGCTATTTGTCTAGCCTCCGAGGCTACTTGCTGGGCGAAGCGAGCCATGAGAGCGCGAGGGGGCCGGGGATTTATTTGTAATGAGAGCCCGGGATTTCTTGCCTGCGACTTTTCCGCCGCATTCCCTCGCTCCGCTGGCGCCAGGATCCCGGCTGGCCCTGTGTTTATGTCACGTAGATCTGTCAGTGCCTAAGCCGGGCCGCTATTTGTCTAGCCTCCGAGGCTACTTGCTGGGCGAAGCGAGCCATGAGAGCGCGAGGGGGCCGGGGATTTATTTGTAATGAGAGCCCGGGATTTCTTGCCTGCGACTTTTCCGCCGCATTCCCTCGCTCCGCTGGCGCCAGGATCCCGGCTGGCCCTGTGTTTATGTCACTGAGACGAGGACAATATTTCAGCGTGGAGCCAGACCCCGGGAATCCCCTCTATAAACCCTCCCTCCCCATAGACACCCCCCCCCA